CCAGCCACACAACCCTCCTGTCAGGTATCCCTTTCCATGGGCAGGAGCCACTCTACCAAATCACAACAGATGCCTCCCTACTAGGCTGGGGAGCTCACATGGGTTCTCTCTCAGTCCAAGGCCGATGGTCCCCACAAGAAGCACGGCTACACATAAACCTTCTAGAGCTATGTGCCATTTTCAATGAATGCAAATCCTTCCTCATCTATATTCAAAACACCACAGTGAGGATACTCACGGACAACATCATGGCCATGTATTACGTGAATCGCCAAGGCGGCGCTCGCTCCCGTTCCCTATGCATGGAAGCCATCCGCTTTTGGAACTGGTGCATTCGCCACGGAATAACACCTACGGCTTCCTACTTACCTGGCACCACAAATATGATGGCAGATTTCCTGAGCAGACACTTCTATGTGAAGCACGAATGGGAAATACACGATGGCATCCAACGCGAGATCTTCCAACGTTGGGATACTCCCCAAGTAGACCTCTTTGCAACAGTAGGCAACAAACCACGAGAAAAACTTACCTTCACAAGTGGCGCAGATACTCCTCCTGGTGTATCTCGAACCACCACGATCCGATACATCCCTTGATTCCCTCCGTCCTGGACTATGCATTGCACCTAAAGAACAAAGGCCTCGCATTAGCCTCCATCAGGGTGCACCTCGCAGCAATTTCAGCATTCACATCACCGATAGATGGCATTTCTGTCTTCGCCCATCCTACTACTAAGAAATTTCTCAAGGGCCTTACCAACATGGCCCCTCCGCATGACCCAGTCCCACCGGTGTGGAGCCTGGATGTAGTCCTCGACGCCCTAATGAGGCCGCCATTCAAGCCTCTAGTGACTGTATCCTTGCATTTCCTCACTTTGAAAACCATTTTCCTGCTTGCCATAACATCAGCACGCAGAGTGAGTGAGCTTTCCGCCATGATGGCCACGCCACCATATACAATTTTCCGTAAGGATGGAGTAGTCTTCATACCCAAATTCCAAGATTCATACCCAAAATCACCTCACATTTCCATGTCAACGAACCAGTGATCCTGCCCACTTTTTTCCTGAAGCCCCATGCCTCTCCACAGGAAGTGGCCCTTCACTCCTTGGACACCCGCAGGGCCTTAGCATTCTACATAGATCGCACTAAACCTTTCAGGCTTATGGACCACCTATTCGTCTCCTTGGCACACAGATCAAAGGGTCAACGCCTATCTTCCCAGAGGATTTCCAATCTCGTAACCTCATGCATAGTGCAATCGTATGCAACGAAAGGCTTACCTCTTCTGTCCCAACCACGTGCTCACTCCACTAGAGCCACAAGGAGTAAGGATAGTTCGGACTAGGAAGCCTAGTCCGAACTACCTAGTCCGTGCCGCGTGTAGCCGTGCGGCACGGGGTTCAAACGAGCCGGGATTTAAAAATGGCGGCGCCCGGTTTATGCAAATGAAGCCCGGGAAATTCAAATCCCGGGCTTCATTTGCAAGTGCGGTATGCCTACATTACCCTCCTAGTTCGAATTAGGAGAGTAGTGTAGACATACCCATAGAGAATAGCTAATGTGATTCTGCTGCACAATTGAATGTCAGAATATGGGGGCCACACAGAGAATGCACATTCCAACAAGCAGTGGAGGTCATCTCTGGTTGGGCTCCCTTCATGGTTTCCTCAGGCCACTGACTTGCGCATAGGATCTGTCCACATAGAACTGGAAAAATTGGGGTCTTAGTTTTCCTCTGCAGTTGGCTTCATGTATGGAGCATTACTGTATCTGATGCTTTTTACTACTTGTCCCTTACATAGGATGCATACAAGTGAGCAGTGGCTAAGGAAGCATTACAGAGCATTGATGCTTGGTCATATGCCAGCAATGCATTGCAAACTTTGCATGTGGCATTTGCTTTTTTCCTCATCACTTATAAATATAGATGTATTAGATTTTGAAGACAATTTTGATTTGTAGCAAGTGGAAGATCAGCGTTTGGACATACTGTTTTATTGTCAGAAATGGTCATCTGTTCTCTCATTTTTTGTATTGCAGGTTCAGAGACATCCCAGCCCGAATTGACTCCAACAGACAACAAGTAAAAACTGCAGCTGTAGAGGTGCAATAAAGATATTACTGTACCAATATTTTTAAAACAGCATCAAGAACAGGAAAGCATGATATGGCTTATGAAATAGGCTTCTAAGTGTATAGGTTGATATTTGTTAGATTACATCTATCTAACAATTGTAGTTAAATTCGTCCCTGGTGTAACTTCATTTACATCTGTAGCTTTACATCAGAGATGAAAGTTCAGCCTTTCACATCAGTACGTTTATAGTGTAGACAATAACTATTGCAGAATACATCAGTTTGCCTTTCACTAAGGGCTCATCTACACATAAATACTGTACCAGTATACTTAAAGTAGTACAATCTCCTCAACTGTGGACACAGTTATGCAGTTAAAACATGTCTATGCTAAGAATTGTATTGGTATAACTACTTAGATAAAATCACACAGCCTCAACTGAAAAGTTATATTGGTACAAAATCTCTTAGATTTACGGTTTTCTTAGAGTACCACAGCACTGCACCTGCTACATAAGAATTAGTTGATCAGTGGCATTGCTGCAATGACAGGGCCAACTCAGCTCATTCTATAGCATCATGTTTTGTAGTTTTGCATGTTTTGCATCACTGGAAGTGGTTCAATAGAGCAAACAATGAAACTGATATGAACAATACATGTTTTCTGCACTTTAAGCCTGAAAGTCTTAATTTTGTAAATCTCAACATTTTGACTGGGTCAAAAAAATTCCATTTAATGCTAAACTTCTGTGTTGTTGGTTCATGTTAAGCAAAAAACAGTTTTTTTAAAAAACAACAATGCATATTAATGGTAAAGATGTTACTCTGGAAGCTAGTATGTATTTACAGTTTCCAGTACCTCAATTTCACATTTACTTTTGTCTGTTTGAATTAGGGTTATGCCTTGCATCCCATAAATCACACAAATACTGACTATGTTTGAATAGATTCCACGAGAGAATGGACATAATTTTGGATTTGGTTCATTAAGAAATTTTCTGTTATACTCTGAAAAAGCAAAAATGTGTTGTTACAATTGAAATGTTAATATGGTTATTTCCTTTTCAGAATATACTTACTATTCATTGTACATCTGTTAATCCAAAATTAAAGCTTTTAAGTCATGTTACCAAAAAAGCAGCTATCTAAATGCGGTGTCTTCTGAATTAGTTTCCATTGATTTAGCCATATTCTATTAGTTTTGTATGAAAACGATTATTAATTTTGTATGAAAATTGACTATATACTTTTATAAAAGAGGGCCTATTACTAATTCAAAACCAAAAAAAAGAGGGGGGGGGGGGAATTTTGCCCTGTTAAAGCCATTCCTTTCACTGGATTCAAGACTTCACTTGTCATTTCAACCACCAGTTCAAGTTTCTAAATAAGTGGCAAACATTGTACTTATCTTATTATTTACAAAATCCAAGTATTTAAATAAACTTTATAATAGCCACATAATAAGCAAACACATTCTGCTTAAGTATAAAGAAATGCATTCATTTTTCTAGGAGATTTAACTTTTGAAAGTTTGAAAACAAAGAAACAAAAGATATTTTTCAAAAAGAAGAAGACAAAGGCTCTCAGCTCAAAGCCAGAATTTTTAATTCAGGGCAATTTTTTGCAACTTATAAATCAAAAATAGTTTTGCAAATTTTCTTCCTGCTTTGCAGAAGTCTTTGGCCTTTCCAGGCCAAAAAAATAGGGACCCTAAAATAAGATTTTATAGTGAAAGTTTGTTGCAACCTGAAGTATGCAGAGGCTACTGCCTCTCCTTAACTTGTTACCTGTCTATCGAACAGAATAAGGAAGGTCAAAGGTGTTTAAAGACACTTCCCAAAGAGTTAGTTTAATAACCCGACCAATCCACAAGGGAATGGTATTTCAGGTTGGGACCCCCTTTCCGTATTTAATCACCGGCAGAGTGTCAGCGCTTAGATTAATAAGGCGCGTAAATAAAAACTGGAGACTTGAATTATACTGACAACCACAAGACTATATTATTAAAAAGGAGGATACATTTATCAAACAATACCTCAAATCAACATACAAGGGGGCAGTCCCCTTTACACTACATGGACCAGGAGGGGAAGTCCCTCAAGGTCCCTATACCTACTACAGAGTCTGCAGGGAGGCAAAGCCTGCGAGCGGCGGAAGGGGAGAGGTGGCGAGAGGCAGGCAGACGCATTCAGGTAGATTGACAGCCTGTCGGCTGTGGATCCAGCCGGAGTAAGTGTAACTGATTAGAACGTCCTGAATGCGTCTGCCTGCCTCTCGCCACCTCTCCCCTTCCGCCGCTCGCAGGCTTTGCCTCCCTGCAGCAGGAGGGTTTGATGGAGTCAAAAGTGAATGAAGGTGCAAAACAAAGCAAAGCCTGTCGGCGCCTGCCGACAAAGCAGTGTTCACACTTTCACTTGCCATGGCAAAACTTTGTCATTCATGGGAGGGGAGAAGGCTTGATTTGCGTTATCGAGGGGGAGGAACAAAGATGGAGCATGAATCAGGTGATTCATGGTGCTCCAAAAGTACTGGAAGGAAGCAGAAGTACAAAGTGCAAGGCTCCAGTGAGCAAGTGGTGCACAGAGAGGGAGGGCAGCCAGGGGGGTTGCGAGCCACAGGTAGAGCCCAAGTGGGCTGCATGTCGCCCACCACTGGTTTAAGTAGTTATCTAAAGTGAAATAGTTTCAACAGAAGAGATGGCGGGAATACTCCCACATCAGACTATCCCATACATATGTGCTGATTTCTGCTCTAATTGGGGGAGGGAGGGCAGATATGCTTGATCACACTCCACTCATTCCCCCAAGACCTCACCTCACCTCACCTCTTGCTGTCCCTTTCACAAAGTGTGCTGCATCCTCCCTTCCATAGCCTTTGAATGCCGCAGAAGCTGAAAGGGAGGGGGAGGAGTAGATCAGTGAGGCACCAGCAGGCAAGAAGTGCTGGGGGGAGATTTGGGCCTTAAATATGTGTCTATGTGATTTGACTAAGGTGGAGTGACCCTGAGAAATCTTACTTCAAATCCACAGCCCCACTTTTTTACAATGGATGAATGAACAAAAAACATATATACTATTTTCAATCCCCTATATTTTCTCTCAACACTTCAAATCAAAGGCCCTACAAGTAATCCATCGGCTATTTTTTTCTGCAAAACACTGTTGTATAATTAGTATTTATTTTAAGCATGTATTTATTAGTATTTATTTTAACCCTTTTAGTAGCTAGATTGCAAGTATGATATGTATTATAGTAATTGTTTTGTTCTTTGAGAGATGTCCCCGTGGGTGCTCCATATTATGCTGGTCCACCGCCACCGAGCCTCAAGGCAGAGATTTAATAGTGGTGTCCCAGGGGCTGCGCACCGGCAGTCGCACGCTGTTAGGCTGCAGGCATCGAGCATGCGTGAGCTCCGCCCCCTCCCGCTCCTTAGTTCCTTCTCCAGCTACAGATGGACTCAGCAGTGCTCCCTAGCTTCTTCACATCTTCATGATTATATCTATTGAAAACCAGTTAATTATATTGTAGTGGTTAATTAGTTAATTAGGTAGTTTAATTTAAAAAACCTACATTAGTATAGGGGTTCTTCTCCCAGTTAATCCCTTCCTACAGTCTCTGACTGCTTCTATAGGCATGTCTGGCTCACTGGGGTTTAAGCACTAGACCTCATGTAAAGAGCCTATCCCAACATTGGATAGTCATTCATAATGCATCCGCTGCCCCAAAGAGCAGCATAACTCCCAAAAATGTCTTCATTGTGCAAAATTAAAATAGTGGGTATGGAAAGACAGAGACCTCCGCCTCAAGTTATTTTTACTTGAAAACTCTCTTAGACCAGCTTCTGACCCAGGCCAATCACCCACGGAACATAAACAGCGTGGAACCAAAAAGCCCGCCAAAAAAGCAAGCCTCCTCAGCACCTAAAGAGCCTATGGCACCGAAATTGCTGGCACTGAAATAGCTCCCTCACAGCCGGCACTGAGAGCAGCAGCATATATGACACTGCAGGCATCTCCAGAGCTCCCAGTGCAGATAAATAGCGGGCATGTGCTAAATCACGTTCTGAGGAGTCAGACTTTAAAGTTGCCTGCCTCATCAGATGCAGCACTATCCGGCACTGATACAACCTTGCTGACGCAGCATGAGAGCATGGCGCCGACCATGTTAACAGGCACCTCAGCCCCCACCACAGAGACATCTGATGCGGCTCCAATTTCCTTGGCACCAATGCATGATTCAGCACCTCAGCCTCTGTGCCTCTCACTACAGCACCGACAATGCCATTTGGGCATTATATCCAACACAGGGACTTATTAGTCTCATCGACTTTTAACTCACAATTTTTAGACCCTGAATGCTCTCCCACTATGTTAACATCACAGAGATCAATCGGGATTTTCATCCAAATCTGATGACAATTTCTCTAGGGCAGTGTTTCCCAGTTTTATTTGGCCACGGAACCTTTTTAAACTCGAAAGAATTTTGCAGAACCCCTAACAGTCTTACATCATCATCCCACTGTCTGGCTAAGATGGCATTACACAAGGACACTTATCGTGGCAAACAGAAATGAAAATTGTTTTCAATAAAATTCATAAATGCTTAAATATTAATTATAATTTTTGAAATCATAAAATGTTATTGTAATGGAATTTTCTCAAGGAACCCTTATTTTCACTTTGCGGAACCTTGGGGATCCGTGGAATACCATTTGGGAAACACTGTAGGCCTTTTTCCCCAGATAATTCTCCTTACACTGATCAGACTATACTCTTCTAGATTTGGGAATATGCCTTCATATTATGGCAATCCCTGGGTACCCCCACCTGAGCCATAATCTTAATGGTAACACTGGGACAAATGGCAATATTATCAGAAACACCAGCATGGCTGGAAATGACACAAAATGCAATATCCCCCCTCTAAACGGATATAAGAAGGGGACCCACCCACACAGGGGGCAGCACCCTCTCCGGACCAAAATGACCCTTTCCCAGTGGAGGGAGGATCTCTGGCCCGAGCTCCAACTACCTCAGATGACACTGCAAATTTCCAAGACCTTTTTAAATGTGTAGCTGCTTAATTAAACATTCTTCTTCAGGAAGTTGTGGAAAATCTGCATGAGCTAACTGACATATTGCACTCAGTAACACCATCAAAAATAGCATTGCCAATTAATCCAGCAACAATGGAACCAGCAAAGATGGTGTGGCAAACTCCGGCATCGATCTCTTCTATGGCTAAGAGAACAGCTAAGAAATATTATGTCCCACCCAAGGGTTCTGAATTTCTTTTTATTCACCTAGTACCTAATTCCCTTGTAGAGGAGGCTGCACAACAAAAACCCAAGCAGCAACAATACCAGTCCACTCTGTCAGACTGTGATAGCAAAAGGCTTGACGCATTTGGACACAACATATATACGTCTTCTACTTTACAATTTTTCATTTCCAACTATGCAGCTTTATTAAGCAAATATGACTACAGAAATTACACCAAATTGAACGATTTTAGTGCAGATATTCCCGAGGCTAAAAGATAACAGTACAAAGCACTGGTATTAGAGGGTCACACAATTGCTAGAACAGCATTACAAGCCACGATAGACGCTGCTGATACAGCTACTCATTCTACAGCAACAGCAGTAGTAATGAGAAGGGCGTCATGATTTAGCTTCACTCCATTCCCCAGAGAGATTCAGTCTGCATTGGAAGATCTGCCTTTCGATGGTCAGAAGTTGTTTGCAGCTAACACCAGTGAAATTCTCCACTCTATGAAAGACTGCAGAGCGACACTTCAGTCTATGGGGATCCACAATCAAGCACCTAGAAGAAGGCCTCGATACCCTCTATATGCACAACATTACAATAGACAAGACCAGCAACAACAGAACAGAGGCAGAAACCAACAGCGTCAACCTTCTTCTACCAACTCCCAACAGTTGCAGCAGTCTAATAAGCAAATTTGAACATCAGGTCGAGGATCTGGAGACCCTCTCACCTATTCCAATGCCACTGATGCAAGCAAACCTGTTCCATCACTGATTGTTACCCTTCTTTAACAACTGGCAATGTATAACCTCAGATGTTATACTACTCTGCGCTGGTTAGGCCTCAGTGGGAGTATTGTGTCCAGTT